GGCGACTCCCGGGCTGGGAGGAGAAGATGCCACGCGTGGGGGCGGCCTCGGGGCCTGCGGCGTCCCACTCGTAGCCCCTCTGCGACAGTTTATAGTGGATGTACTTCATCACGATCTCCCGGTTGTCATAGCCGGTTCTCCCCGCGTGCGCCATCCTTCTTCCTCCCCTCCCCGTGCCCCCCCTCTCCCCTCCCCCCCCACCGCGACCCCGCGGGGACCCGGAGCAGCGCCCCCCGGCGGGGGCTCCCTCGCTGCCGCCCCGCGCGCGCGCGAGCGCGGGGTTCCCCACCCCGCCCCCACCCTCGCGCACACGCGCGGAGAGCCGGAGAGAGGACGAGTTATAATGTCGATCTCGAGGGGCGTGCGCCGGGCATGCTTGGAGGAGGGGGTGTCTGCAGTCACGCGGAACCCTGGATGGCGGTGTGGGGTTCCTCCGCCGCCTCCTCCTCCTCCTCCTCGTCCTCCCCCCCACCCGTGTTGGCGCGAGCTGCAGGGAATGTCTCTTCCGATCCCTCCCGCGGCTCTATTCCACGAGGCGCATGGCTCGCCACCGTGGTGACTCTCCGTCCGCTTGCTCCGGCGAGGCCCCGAGGTCGGCGGGGGGCGGGGGGCAGCGCTCTAGGGAGTCACGGTCAGGTGCATCCTCCACGCGCGGAATGAGAGGCGGCCCCGCGGCTTCACGAGAGAGAGAGAGAGAGAGAGAGAGAGAGAGAGAGAGAGAGAGAGAGAGAGAGGTGCGTAAACTGCCTGGAGATGGAAACTCAGCCGGACGCACTCCAGTCACAGGTTGGCCGACGACGTGTGCGTGGCAGGGGTCCACGCCAGGCGCCGCGGGCGCGGGCCGTCGGGGCGGCCGGGGCCGGGTGGTCCGGTCGCCTTTGCTTTCTTTTTTTTCTTTTTGCTTTTTGCGCCGCTCCGCCGCCGCCGCTGCCCACGGCGCGGGGCACTCGGGGCTCCGGGACTCCGGGCTGGGCGGAGCGGCTCCGAAACTTCCCGAGGAATCTGGAGTTGGGGGGGGGGAGGGATGTTAAAAAAGAGAGAGAGGGGGGAACGGAGCCGATCCCCCCCCGGGGCTGACCCCCCGACTTCTGCCCCCCAGAAATGTCAATCGGGAGGAATCCCGGCCGGGGAGCGAGAGGCGGCGGCGGCTGATGAATTACAACGTCCAGTCC